GGGTTTGAGATATACTGTATAACATTAAAGCTAGTTTCCTTTTTTTACTACCATCAAATTATATAAAGCACATTTCTTTGGTCCTATAACAAATACAGGTCACTCTGATAATCAAATGCAAGTGATTTTACATAATTTAGCCTGATCCCATATTGCCCAAATACAGCACTAAATACATAAACTAGAACTTGATCACTAACTTGATCATGAAATAAGCAGCATTTCTCTCCCTCTTCTTTTGCATTCTATCCAGGGCAATGGGCAGAAAGTTGTCCCTAAATATTATAAATACTGACAAATATTCTTACATAAAATAGCAGTTACTGTTTTCCCTTAGAATTAAACTAATTACCAACAAAAAGTTTCCTTCACTTTCTTACTGATCAATCCTTTTACATGTATCCGCTAAAAAGGTCTCTCCAATTAATAAAACTTATTACACATCCACTTATCTTGATACTATGCTGATTATTTTACTAACTTACTTCAGTTCAAAATTTATTCACAGTATATGAAATCTACTAGGCACTGTTATTAAAAAAAAAAGAGCTCTTTTCTGGTACAGAGGAAATAGTCTTAACGTAATGGGCAATTTAATTATTTTCCACCTCTAAGGAAGAACTCTCTCTACTCTTTAAATATACTGGCCAGGCATGGTGGTGCACACCTGTAATCCCAGCACTTGGGAGACTGAGGCAAGAGGATTGCCTTAAGCTCAAGGCAGGCCTGAGCTACATACTGAGTTCAAGACCAGTCTGAACTAGAGACCCTGTCTCAAAACAAAAAAACAAAAAAAACAAAACAAAATAAGCTACCTCCTGCCTCGCAAGCGCAAGATTCAGAGCTCAATCCCTGGTACCAAAAATAGATACAGACAGACAGATAAAAAAATGAATAACTAAATACAGTGGACCCTCAAGTTACGACTGGCCTGACATAGGAACAACTTGGGTTAATTAGGTTAATGGAAGATTCATTTGCCTTTTGTTATCTATAGCCTGTACCCAGGTAAACATCCAGATCTCAGCTCTATTGACTTACAACCAACAGACTTAAGTCACAACCAGCTCTCGGGAACTTATCAAGGTCATAAGTCAAGGGTCCATTGTATATTAAAACATATGGACATATAGTATTTAAAATAGAGAATATTCAATAAAATGTGGCATAAAATATCCAAGACTGATTTCTGCATTTATTAGATAAAATTTGTATTTAGAATTATACTACTTTCACAAGTATGGTCAATAGTAAGAGCTCAATAAACATTTATTCCTCTACGACTCAAAGCTATCAAGTCTTCTTTAAAACATAAAGGCATGTTAAGAATTTAGCAGGGCCAGGGATTTAGCTCAGTGGTTCTGGCGCCTGCCTTGCAAGCGAAAGGTCTCGAGTTCGATCTCAGGTACCAAAAAAAAAAAAAAGAAGAATTTAGCAAGTTTGACCAACACCTGTTACTCTGTTAACATATGAAAATTAAAATGTATACAGGTTTCTTAAAAAGTATACAGATTTTACTCACATTTGATTCTTTGCTGCTTGCCTCTGAGCTTTTCTTTCTTTCCTTTTCTGATCCGGTGGCTTAGCAAAAACAATTTCAATATTTTCTCCTTCCAAGTCTTTGCCATTCATTTCTTCCATAGCCTTAAAAAAATGAGATAATCGATATAAAAACCATCTTTCAGGGCCAGGGATTTAGCTCAATGGTGCCACCAGCCGCCTCACAAGCACAAGGTCCTGAGTTTGATCCCTGGTACCAAAAAAAAAAAATCTTTCAAAGAAAAATATCAGAACTACTGATTCATTTACATTAAAAAGCTAGGGCCGGGGATTTAGCTCAGTGGTTCTGCTGCCTCGCAAGCGCAAGGTCCCGAGTTCGATCCCTGGTACCAAAACAAAAAAAAGCTATTATCATTTTTAAGATGACAGTGAGATAAAACATGCTTTTCAACAATATTTTTCAACTTAAAAAATTGGCTAAGGGCACTGAAAGTTTGCTTGAGTGGATTTAATAACCACTATTTCCTTTAATTTTTAAAACACATTGGTTCTATGACAAAAAATTGTTAGTCTAATTTAGATGCCCATGGTAATTCCACTACTTATTTACCTTAACAGCACCATCTCGTTCATCAAAATGAATGAAAGCATAATCTTTAAGTTTCTTCACTCGTTCCAGTTTCCCAAACTGACTAAATGCCTTTTCTAAAATCTCTTCTGTTACAGTATTGGCAAGGTTGCGTACAAACAACACTTTTACCTGAAATACAAAAAGAAACAAATCTCCTGTACATTTCCCAGAGTTCACTTTTCAAGACCCCACCCTACAAATTTAAACTTGAATTGTCATCGTCATAAGAATTATAAAAAAGTTTTCAATTGCTCTGGGTAAATACCAAGGAAAGACTACTAACCAGATTAGAAACCTAAATAGGCTGGGGTGGTAGTGTACACTTGTAATCCCAGCACTCAGGAGGCTAAGGCAGAAGGATCACTCTGAGTCTGAGACCAATCTGGACTACATCGTGGGTTCAAAGCCAGCCTGAACTACATAGCGAGATGCTATCTCAAAAAAAACAAAGTAAGAAACAAAACAGAAAAACTGAAATAGGTTTTACTAAAGACAATATACAGTGGCAAAGCAGAAAAAAAAATGATCATCATTTATCATTAGCAAGTTAATATAAAAGTGAGGTAATACTACACATCTATTCAAATCACCAAAAACTTCAATATTAACATCAAATGTAGGTGAGGATGCAAAACAAAAGAAGCCTTATTCATTTCAGGATGAATGCAAAATCGTGCAGCCTCTTCGCCAGTTTGGCAGCTTCTTACACAACATATTCTTACTATACAATCCAGCAACCTCACTATTACAATCTCACTACTACTATTTTCCCAAAGGAGTCAAAAAGTTTTCATCCCCATAAACACTTGCATACAGATGTTTCTAACATTCTTATTCATAATTACCAAATATTGGAAGTAACCAAGGTGGTCTTCAGTAAGTGAACAAACTGGTACAGAATGAAATATTCAACACTATAAAGAAATGAATCACAACCAGCCGTGGTGGTGCACACCTGTAGTCCCAGCACTCGGGAGGCTGAGGCAGGAGGATCACTGAGTTCAAGGCCAGCCTGGACTCTGGACTACATAACAAGACCCTGTCTCAAAAACAATGAAATGAATCTTAAAGCAAAAAAAAAACAAAAACAAAAAAACAACCCACATAGAGGACCCTTAAATGCCTATTACTACATGGAGGAAAAAAAAAAATTTCATACGACCTGATTGCAACTATATGAAATTCTGAAAAGGCAAAATTATGAAGACAATTTTTAAAACGTCAGTAAATGCCAGGGACTGAACAGTAGGGATGAACAGAAGACAGTGAGAGCTCTCCTCTTCCTCAATTTTTACTTCCTGGGAATCATCTTCCCCTACCACATATTCCTGCCCAGAAGCTAAGGAGCCAAGCAACCATGGACTGAATGAATAAATGAACCAAACCAATCTTTCCTTTATAAAGAGGAAAGAGTTGATTATCTCACACAGATTATGTTTTTCAAAATCCACAAAGGTACTGGTACTCCAAAAGTAAAGTCAATGCAAAATATTGGCTTTTAGGTCCTTAATGTTGGTTCAATTTTAACAAATGTACTATCTACAATGCAGAATGTTGACAGTGAAGAAGTTTGGGGAGGGCTAGGTAGGAGAATTCGTTGTACTTCCTGTTCAATTTTGATATACACCTTGCTGTGATAGTCTATTTTCATGTAGACTACACATTTAGTACCTTTTAATACATTTAATTATGCAATCAGAAAAATAGTGATTTCACAACAATATGAATGCCATGCCCTCTCAAACTGCTGTTTAACACCTAACAGAGGTGATCAAAATTAATTAGGACTTGCTTTTTAGATCTCAGGAAAATATAAGTGGTTGGTGAGACGTCTCAGTGATAGAGCGCTTGCTTTGCATATATATGTGAGGCCATGGGTTCTATCCCCAGCATCACCAAACAACAAAACAAAAAACAAATCCCACCAACAAAAAATGCCTGAAAGTTTCTCAAATCACAATTACTAAACTAACTTTTTGTCTAAAAAACATTATCCCTTGCTCCTAAAATATTTGAATAGCATTATTTGAATAGCATTTGAACTTGTTTAGGTGGTAATCTTAAGTTTTATAGGCCAAAGGGAAAAAAGAATCCCAAGTATCCTGGTCTTTTAAGACCATCATCCTTTAATAATATCCATAATTTTCCCAGCAGTTCACACTCCTCCCCTATAGATTTAAGTATGCTAGTTGTGTTTGACACCCAGCCTGTAACTATTACAGGGGATCCTTAAAAGACAAAGTGTAAACTAATTTAACTGCCAACTACAGTAGTATATAGTAAACTGTTGAGTCAAGAGATGTTTATTTTCACAAGATGTGTCAACTAACTACTAAAGCGGGCTGCCTAATAATAGCTAACTACAGTAGTTCTGCTGGGGCCAATACAGTTCACTATTTTTAGGACTAGCAGTTTTAACACAAAAACCATGTCAGTTAATGGCACCATTCTCAAAAACTCGAATTTCTTTTAGAATCTATACATTATGGAAGTGAACTACTGCTAAAGCATGTGGATTAACTACTTCATCATCAAATTATAATGGCTAAATGTCCATGAATAAATCACTTTACATGAACATATATTTGTACCATGTAGCTCTAATCCATTATTAAAGAATGCTCTCACCTTGAGAAATGACTGAAAACAATGTTCACAATTCATTTTATGTTATTTTACCCTCATCCTTCTTCCATCAAAGCCTCAAAAATTATTTTTAACTAGACTATCATTACCTTTGCCATAACTTCAGGATCAGGATCTTCTATAGGGTCGGCCCATTCAACAGTTCCAACATTTCCCCAGACCTTGACTTTACCACTCATTAGCCTACGCCTTGCCTGGGCAGCTGTTTTGTGATCTTCATATT